CTTTGATATTAGCGATCACGTCACAATGAAATAATTGACTACCATCTTATTTCGGAAAATTCATATAACATGCACTTTTTGATAAGCTTTTATGATATCAGCGATTATGTCACAGTGAAATAATTGATCACTATCTTGTTTGGGAAAATTCATATGGCATGCACTTTTTGATTAGCTTTTATGATATCAGTGATCATGTCATAATGAAATAATTGACCACGATCTTTATTCGGATAATTCATATGGTATGCAGTGTTTCATAACGTCTTTTGATATTATCGATCAATTCACGATGAAATAAACGAATACGTCATTAATTAGGATAATGCATATGCCATGCAGTGTTTGATGACCTCTGAGGAGACCAGTGATCGCTTCACAATGAAGTAGTAGAACACGACGTTCTTCACGATAATTCAGATACAATACACTGGTTGATGAGATCGTCTGATGTTGAAGATCGCTTGGCAAGAAAATAATTGAAGACGACCTTAGTTGGAATAATTGATATACCATGCACTGTTGTGATAACGTCTTCTGATATTAAGAATTGATTCGGAATGAAATAAACAGATGGGTCATTAATTAGGCTGATTCACGTGCGAGGCACTGTCTAACCTGGTGTTTTACTGTGATCGGCTGCTACAGAGGAAAATAGTGGAATATGACGTTGCTTATGATCGTTCGTGTGCCATGGACTGTTGAACCTTGGGTCTGCTAATTTGGATTGATGGAGAGTAAAATAATGGAATACAACCTTCTTTAAGATAATTCGTAAGGCATGCAATGTTTAACCTTTTGTGTCGCAATGTTCGATTGCTGAAGAATGAAATAATTAAATGAGATTTTCCTGTGGATGATTTACTGGTGATGGGATCCTGTAACACGATGGTTTTGGGTATTTTTTGGTTTAGAGATGGGGAAAGGCAAATGGATCCGTTGTTATTACTATGTAATTTTTGTGTAGACCTTCATTGTGGAAAGTTTTCTTCCTTTGTTGAGGCAATGAGAACGATATTAATGAATAGTATGTTGGTGCTTGAAATGATTCTGTTGTTATGTAACGATCGATGGTATAGTTCTTAGATGCATTTAATGCTGGAATGTTCGGTATATTTGAACAAAGCTATCCTCAGAATTAAGACTAGTCATCGACTCTGTTATATAGCTGTGCCTGAGGACTTTCGGATTGCATTCTCGATGAGATACATAGATGAAGAAAACAATTCTTGAAACTAGTCACTGGTGGCATAATTGATACACGATGGGTAAATGGTACACTAGACTTTACTCGAAGAAAGTTTTTTGGATAGATATTTCGTGAAAAATGGTCACCTAGTATATGAGCTATTGTATTTGAGTAACATATAATCGTTGCCTGTCGATGATCAATATTCTTGAATAAAACTATTATTAGGTTTATTCATTTTTGTTATGATATGTTTGCTGGTAATAACGAGAGAAGCTTTGTTTTACATTTAATGATATAAATGAGAGAACAGATTGTTGTTGATGTTCGCTTACGAGGAAATTGGTAGTTATGTCATAAACTTTGGCTTTAATTTTACGTACTGACTATGTACTGAACTGGATACTTGTTAAGAACATTCAGTTTCTGGATGATTTTCAACCATATAATGGTTGAAGTGGCCTACCTCAAAGTAAGTATTAAATTTGGACATGAATGTTGTTATGGCTGTTCATATGTTATACCACCAATGATGTGATGTTGTGTTAAAGATTGATCATTGAATTTACACGTTTTATTCCACCAGCACGTTAAACAAGTTGGGAGACGTTTCTGAGGTTACTTGAAACATTACTTACTCTCATTTGATTTCTTCATATATCCTGATCGAACTTTTTATCTTCATAAACTTTTGATGTTATATGCATGCACGGTAATCTTGAAGGGTGTTTGTTTCGTTTTTACTTTGAAAAGACTTCTCAGCATTTGAAGAATCTTATCTATCACAGATTCTAATTGATCTTAGAACGCTTTCATATAACATAATATTACTAATCAAGCATGAAAGCTTTATTTGTAGTTAGTCTTCTAATGCTTCATTGTTTCAGTCAATTTTTTCTCTCTATTTGGATGTAGCGTTTGGCGCGGTGTTTTCTTTTTTTAAGAGGTTTTTTACATTTAATCATCATTTATACTTGCTTTAACGTTTTCAATAAATATCTTAAATGAAAATACGACAAAGTTCTGTGAATTTGCTCAGATGATTATTTAATATGCTATTAAAGTGGTATGCCGCAAAATCTTAACCCCCATATGTCTTATCAAGCTCATCAGGAGCGATATTACTGCATCTTAGGATGTGAAATGTGGGTAAATCAATTGAAAACAGATCAACCTATATGACTACCATACAAATCAATCTGCTACTCTCAACTCTTCCTTTTCAGCGATCAACCTAGTCGAGAATCAAATTAAAATTGAATGTTAATAAATAAAGAAACATGCTGTGATTAAAATAATTGACGAGAAATGCAGAATTATTTTGTATTTCGACTTTTCAAGACGTAGGTAAAGTTAGCACCATATTCGAGTTTTTTGCGTCCGGATTCGTTTTTTGACTTGGGTTGGCTCTCTACTTGGTCGGGTTATATGCAGAATTAAATTCTGCATCGAATGGTGCCACTTTCGACTGGGGTCATCGAGCAAAAAACTGACTTATCTTCGAAATACTGACTTTTTTGGGAGCTTTTCCAAAAGTATTTCGCGTCCCGATTCGCTCTCTCACTTGGGTTTGCTCTACAAATGGTTGGATTGAGTTCAGAATTAAATTCTGCGCCGAATGATACCAATTTCGACTAGAGTTGTCGGGCAAAATCGACAGATGAAGGTGAACGAGGATCAGAAATTTCGACGTGGCACTGCTGCTGCCATCTACTGTTTTTGACCGACGACCCTAATCGAAATTGGTATCATTCGGCGCAGAATTTAATTCTGAACTCAACCCAACCATATATAGAGCCAACCAAGTGAGAGAGCGAATCGGAACGCGAAATACTTTTGGAAAAGTTCCCAAAAAAGTCAGTATTTCGAAGATAAGTGAGTTTTTTGCTCGATGATCCCAGTCGAAGATGGCACCATTCGATGCAGAATTTAATTCTGCATATAACCCAACCAAGTAGAGAGCCAATCCAAGTCAAAAAACGGATCCGGACACAAAAAACTCGAATATAGTGCTAACTTTACCTACGTCTTTTAATCATATCAAGTGGCAGGTATCAGTACGAATGATCCAAAGATCAGTACAAGATACGAAGTAGTATTTCGATTTTTTCTGATAAAAATCATGAAGTGGCGAGTATCTATAAAATTGATTAAGTTTGGAGAAGAGTCACATACAGGGTGTCTCAAAAGTAAGGAAACAAAGTTTTTTTTCGATTTTTTTTCTTATAGAGCGTCAGCTAGCTCTCATATTTATACCACAGATACTAGACGACATAGGTGAAAGATCTAGCACACGAGCAATATCTGAATGTAGTGGTTAGTTCAAAAGCATACAAATATAGGAGAATCAATAATAAGGTAACATGCGTGAGTTCTAGCAAAACTTTTATGAAAGCAACAGAACAGCATAATTACACATACCAAAGTATGTCTTTGTTAAGTCTGTGCAGTAAGAAGATTTTCACAAAAATTGCTCAATGTTTTCACCTTCTAACTCTTTGCAAAGTTGTAGTCTCTCAGGTACTGATTGACAGGCTTTTTGGCATAATTCCATTGGTAATCTCCGCATCTCTGTAATAATAGCATCTTTGAGTGCTTGAAGATTTCAGAGTTTTGTTGCATACACACGGTCTTTTATCACACCCCATAAAAAGAAGTCGGTCGGTGTCAAATTCGGTGATCGTGCTGGCCAGTCTATTGGCTCACGCCGACCAATCCATCGATCAGGGAATGCTTTGTCCAAAAATTTCGAACGAATTGGTTATTAGGAGCTGGAGCTCCATCGTGCATATAAAATATTTTTTCTAAATTCATCTGATATTCAATAGCAGGAACAATTTCTTCATCAAGCATTTCCAGATAGCTGCGTCCAGTAAGTGTGTCACGAAAGACGGACGGTCCCATAAGGCCTCCAGATCAAATTCCGGCCCATACAATAATGCCTGGGGCATTAATCTCCTGGGTAATGACGACATGAGGGTTTTCTGTAGCATAGTAGGCGCAGTTATGTCGATTGACGCGTCCATTCAACTTGAAAGTAACTTCATCGGTCTACACAATTCGATCAGGGAACAAAGAGCCTTCAGCGACCAATTTCAGAAAGATATCAGCAAATTCGCAGCATCTGTCGGGATCATTATCGTTTAGAAGATGCAGTAATTGAGGACGATAAGGCTGCAATCCCAACTCCTTCATCATTCGTTGAAGACTGGCTTTTAGACAGATTTAACTCCAATGAAGCTCTTCTTAATAATGTTTCAGGACTTTCTTCAGAAGCTGCACGAACACGTTCTTTGTTTTCTTCGGTACTGACAGATCTAGGTCTGCCAGATCTGGGTTCATCTTTAACACTTTCGGTTTCATCAAATCTTCGTACGAGATTCAAAATATTCTTTCGTGTTGGAGAAGTTCGATCGTAATATTGTTGAAACTGACGAGCAACTTCATCTGCATTCTAGTACACAGCGTACCATTTTACAATTTCAATCCTTTCAGATGTCGACAAACGAGAACTTTCACTCATGATTAAAAAAATATGAAAAACGCAGTTGGAACTGCGAGAAAAGAAACAGATAGTAAACAGAGAACAAAATATGAATCACCTGATAAAAGAGATAACCGTTCGTATTGTTTACTGCAGACGTCACCACTAGTGCATATATAAATACTACCAAAAACAAAGTAGTATACTCTACGACAGTGGAAAGTATAACTGTCAAGTACGTTTCCATTTCTTCGGTAATACTATATTTATATGCTTTTGAACAAACTACTACATTCAGATATTGTTCGTGTGCTAGATCTTCCACTTATGTCATCTAGTATCTGTGGTATAAATATGAGAACTAGCTGACGCTCTATAAGAAAAAAGATCGAAAAAAAAAACTTTGTTTCCTTACTTTTGGGACACCCTGTAAAATAATGTACACAATGTTTCGATTTTTGAGAAAGTAGCCGATCAAAAACTTCAATAATGGAAAATTTATTATCAAAAATAGCAAGGTGCTATTGCTAATCGAATAGCTATAAATGCTGGCAATGAAACATCCGATGAGGAATCTCTGAGAGTGAATCTGAAAAAGAATCATTATCTGATGATGACAATGAAAAAAACATCGCAAGTACAAGTGCATAAAAAAGGCCAGGTTAATTTACATTTTTTTAATATTTTAATATATGAAAAGAACAGAGGCACATAAATATTATCCTCAATAGAATTTCATGAGAAATCGCTCCGTAACAAAACAATGCCTTTTCTGAAGGATTCAAATATTTACACTTCTACCCAGTGGCGTAGCCAGAAATTTTTGAGTCATGGGCAATTCATCAGCCGAACTATTTTGAGTTACGGACAGCTAAGGGCAACCGTTATGATTTCAAAAATATCTATGGGCAATAACTGTTCAAGCACTGCATAGCTCAATAAATCCATGGGCAATAACTTTTGGAGCTATGGGCAATTGCCCAATGGCCCTACCCCTGGCTACGCCACTGCTTCTACCAATCAATTTATGATTCATATATGAAAAGATGGCTCATATCAGGTTTTCTATATTCATATAATTTCAACTGAAAACTATATCAATCTATTGTTCATTGTTTTCTTAATATCTTGAGAAATCGAAAAAGACAGCATGGATTTTCGCTTGATTTTGAAAGTTTGTAGAAAGGGGCTACCACATCGAATACTTTTCGATTTTTGTGTTAGAAGTAATCTTTGTTAAAAAGATAACTTGAATTTCGAATAGACCCCATGTTTTCATCTGCTTTTAATAGATTTTGATTGCAAAAAGCAGGTCCTGAATAAAAAAAAGACATAACATATTTGCAGTCAACTTCAAAAAACTGAGTCCATGTATGTGAGTTTCAAGTTATTTTTTGTTTTGCAAAAACATTCGGCTGTGATTTCTCTGAAAGCCGAATCAAATAAAAGAGTTTAATAAAAAAAATCACTGAATCAGCGAAAAATAAATTATCAGCTTGTAAAACATCACTATAAGATAAAAAATGAATAGCTCATGAGTGAACATCGTCAAATGTCAAATTATTTTTTGATTAAGTATCTGCTCAAACGATAGACCTTAATGAGCTATTAAATATCCTACAATGATTTGGTTTTTTAGTCCTTGATTATCGAAATATCGAAATTTTACTAGATTCTTCACCAAAACAATCGTAGCCTTCCTCAGATCACATCGAAAATCAAGCTTCTGGATCCGACGTCAAACTTGACACAAAGAAAGTTCTTAATGAGATTAATTGATTGTGCAAATTTTAGCTTATCTGATATTTCTTTTCTAGAGATATAAATTTTGCTTTTACACATGCGAGAATATCGAATACTGAATGTTTTCAGAAATGAAAGACTGGATAAGCAAAAGCTTGTACAATCAATTAATCTCATTAAGGACTTTCTTGGAATCAAGTTGTAAGTCAGAACTAGAAACTTGATTTTCGATCTGATCTGAGCACGACGATGATTTTTTGTTGAAAAATCTAGTAAAATTTCGATATCTCGATAATGAACGTCTATGAATACCAAATCTTTGTAGGATATTGAACTTGTTCTAATCGAACTCTGTTAAAGACCGACGAGAAAATGGTATCGTAACGAAGTTTGCGTGGTCTTATTTAGAGTTCTATTGTTTTTCTATATCTCTGTATATTAAGGAAATAGTGAATAGAAATGTCAACGTAACTAAATAATTTTCATCCAAATTTGAAACAATATTGATATGAATATTCAACCATCTGAACTGAAATTTTTACTTGAGAAAGAAAATATATATGAACCATAGATTTATGATTTCAAAGCAAACATTTGCATCCTTGAGAAATGAAGTCATTTTTTTATTAAATGATTCTTCATGGAATTCTAAATTACGTAGACTACGAATAAAGTGACATTGAGGATAGATCTGGGCATATATTGTTTATCTATTGATTAATATAGACAATTCAATCGATTAAAAAATATAATATTCTCATCGATCCAGTTAGTCAATGTAAATGACTTCTTCAAGTTTTATATTATTGTCAATAAGATCATACTCATGTGATTGATTTTTATTTTCGTACTCTTGATTATTGTATTAAAAATGAAAATGAAAAGATTGGTGCTGCAGCTTTACAACAAATTGCATTACATTTATCAGATGATATTAGTGATCAAAAACAATATCAACGACTTCTTCGACTACTTCCATCAAATTTATCATCTGCTACTATACCTGAAATACATAAACCTATCTTAACAACAATTGAAATTTTTCGTTCAAGAAAACAAACTACTAATCAAGATATGCAATCAAATTATACATTAATATTTTTTAATTGTCATTATCAATATCTATAGAAAAGAAAATTCTATATTAAGTCTTATTCGTGTTTATCTTATAAGTCATCTTTCAAAAAATAGTAACAAATATAGATCATCAAAAGTACGAAAATTTTCAACATGGCTTCATAATGAATATATTAAATTTATTTATGAAGAAAAACCACATTTTATATTCTATCATGATATGTCAAGTTTTGATATCAATAAAGATTATCTTTTATCACCTATTGCATTAAAAAATCTTCTTTATATTTATCGTTTATTTGGTAATTATCATCAATATTATCATCTTATCAAATTATTTCCATGTCAGAAAACAATGATTCTATCGAATTTGAAAAGAAAACATATGAATTAACAAATCAAGATGATGTACAACTTTTTCTTTATCTTAAAGCAATAATGAAAACGAAAAATGTATGATAATATTTTGATTCGAAGAACTTATCACTATTTTTATTTGATTAGGATCAATCAAACAGCGAATCTTTGTTCAATATTATAAGTCAACTACTTGTTCTTCATGTAGCTCTTTTGATTCGTTTATCATTAATTGATTGTCATCTTCTATCAAAATTTCCTTCAATCACATTTAATTCCATATTTTCTCAATTGACTAATCAATTTCAAGAACATCTTACATCATGTCTATACTTATATTCTTCATTATTATTGTATTCAAAAGTAGTTGATATATTTGATGGACGACTTTTCGCTTTTACTCTCTATCAACTCAAACAATCATCATCAAAAATGAAATTTGATTCAAATACAATGAATATTGTCAAAAAAAAAGTTTAACCTTATTGAAATTTTTAACAAATCAAAATATTTTTTATAATATAGTAGAACAATTAATTCAATCAAAACATATGATATTTTCAACTTCAATATCTGATAGATAGCTAGTGTGAAATGAAAAACAAAAAAATTATTAAAATAGCAAATTTATTTATTGATAATTATTTAAAACCAATATTTTCAACAAATAATCAATGGACATTTGATTTTATCGATCGTGATGACAATTCTTCAGCTCAATATGAAGATATAAGCCTTTTTTTCCTTCATATATGTCAGATATTTTAAAAATATATGCTTTATTTCATAGGAAAATATCATTGGCATGTATACAAAGAGGTATATTTGATAATTCTTAAGTATTATTTTATAAATCTATTCTTATTTTTAGGTTGGTGATGAGATAAGTCGTGTACGTAATAATGATAATACATACAAAAATTCGAATAAATATCGTTATCGAATCAAAAATCAACAAAACTTGTAAGACTGAACATTATGAGTTTTGTCTTAAATGATTTCTAAAACAGATCATGGATGAAATTACCTAAGTTTGTGGATCACGAACACATCTATCATACAACACAATAGAATTCAACTTAGGTTCATCTTGAACTATTATCCATTTCAGAAAAAGAGAAGTTTTGTGAGTATTTCTTGAGAATTTTTTGATCGAAACAAAATAGTCATTCACGAATTTGACCATTACAGAGAAAAGACTTGGGAGGACATTAATTCTTGTTTGAAATTGTAAAAACAATATTCTGAACCTATTTTACAATTGACCTTGATTGTTAATATGTTCAGTAAAGAAGAAACATTGTTCTCTTTCGATCTTCACAAGGTCAATATTGTTGGGTTATTTCGTTCAAGATTTATAAAAGCTTTTCTTTTTAGACTCTCGATGTCAATCACATGATCTGAAATTATCCGAAAAAGCATCTATACAGTGGCAATTCACCATACTGTATTGAATGACGGTATATATATTATTTTGATTCTAAATTATCTGCAATTGTTATTTCAAGATCTTGTTACACTACATAATAGAAAAATGTAAAGCTTTAGGATATACCAAAATAATAGTTTCAAATTAATTTAAATTCAAAATTAAAGATCTCCATAAGACTCAGTATGATGAATTAATCCTGCTTAGATGCTTTTTTTATTGACTTCAACATGTTGTCTAAGTTCTTCCTTTGATATTCTTAAGTATCAATTCCCTACTTCAAGTGTCTACTAAATGGAAAAATGCTATGTTACGTGGTTCAACACACAGGGATATTTTTCTTCATTTAGACCAAAATGCCCCAAACGATTTGAGTGTATACCTAATAGTGACATACGCAGAAAAAAAAATTTAGAAAGGTAGGCTCAATTTTCTGACCATATATATGCTATATTTATTTTCCTCGTCTATTCTTTTGTCACGTTTCCGTTTTTCATATATGTTTCTTATCTGTCATAGTTTTCGTTAGGTATTTTCCTTTGTGTACTATGACCTAAATCTGAATTCGATTCTGTCCTACAATAGAATTCATTCAACTAGTACTTATTTCCTATTATTGTTTTTTTTTAATTGTAAATAAATCTATTTTTTATAGTTATACTTATTTCACATTGTATGGTAAATCATTAACTAGCCGTAATGTAAAAGATAATCAACTACAAATTGTTCTTCCGGCTACACATAGTGCAAATATGGACAGAGCAGATTCTGCATCCGGTAATAAGAAAAAACAAAAAAAAATTCATCAAACAAAAGCTGAGAAGATTATTGAAGAAAATAAATAACGAAAAATTGATAAATATATGGTTGATGAAAGTAGTCAAATTGTTAATGTTGAAAATTTATTAAGACATATTTTATACGATAATTATTCAAAAGCTATTGAAATTATTGATGGAAGTTTATCAAAATTTAAAACATCTATAAATCGTCTTGATTTACTTAAAAAAGAATTTTATTTACAACGAAAATATTTACAATTATTAAGAAAGAAAAATCTAAATTAGATTATCTTGAAATTGATTATTTTGCAACAATGACTGAAATAATTCATATTGAAAATATTGTTGATGTATTCAATGAAAAGAAAAAATCTATGGAAGAACTTCTTAATAATTCACCATTAGACCAAGAAAAATGGTATCGAATTCAAATGGAAAAAATCAATAGTCGATTACCAATATGTCAAGAAGATATACCCGATACTCGAGTACCGAATTTTATCCCAGATAATTGGCAAATTGAATTTCTTGATGCTGTTGATAAACAACAATCAATTATAATTGTATCACCAACGAGTTCCGGTTAATTCTACTGGTTTTCTTTTCTTCTTATCAATTTTTTGTCATTTCATTTATAAATCTAGGTAAAACTTATGCATCATATTATGCTATGAATAAAGTACTCAAATATCGAGATGATTCAAATGGTATTTTTGTATATGCAGCACCAACGAACGCACTTGTTAATCAAGTTGCCTTTAGAATTTTATCTGTTTTTCTTTCGTTGATCAAAATCAATCTATGAACATATTCCAGCTACAATTCATTATTAATTTGATCCTATATTTGGAATTTTTACACAAGATTATTGTACAAATATGGAACGATGTCGAATATTAGTTACTGTTCTACAATGTATGCAAATTCTTCTTCTATCATCTAGTCATTAACGTTAGTGTCAAAGAATAAAATATGCAATTTTTGATGAAATTCATTGTATGTCTGCTGAAGCTAGATCTGATGTTTGGGAAAAAAACAATGTTACTTATTAATTGTCCTATGATTGGTCTTTCAGCAACAGTTAATAATGGAGATGAATTACGTCATTGGATTGAATACATTGAAAATCAACGTTCTAAATTATTTCAAACATTAAAAACATGTCGAAGATGTTTTATAGCTCATCATGAACGTATGGCTGATTTAAATAAATATTTATATTCAAATCTACAATTACATCCAATTCATCCAATTGGTCTAATGAATGCAAAACAATTAATAACACGAGGTGTTCCCAAAGATTTTTCATTATCACTTTACGAAACTTTACAATTAAATGATGTTATGCAAAACTTGTCAACTAATAGAAAGTAAGTCTACATTGAGTATTGAAAAAAATTTTCAAACTTCTTTCATTTAAAAAAAAATGCTACTGTATTAGTATTCGTGTTTAGGTAGAGATCAAATTAGAAATGCAATGGTGATTGACCGTCACTTATGCAATGTTATGTATATTAGTAGTCATCGAAAAGGTAAAATCTGAATGCTCTAGTAGGCTTCCATTTGATCCAGAATTTTCTTTTTCACATGATTTTATTTTGTTGAGTTAAATGTAAGAGAAATTCGAATAAATTTAAATCAATAAACTAATAGACTTTTCTGTTTTATATTTGAAAATGTTTTACTTCCTGAATGACATGATCTATAGGACGTGAAACGCATACATTTCTGCAGATATTGTTTTCATAGATTTCTCAGTTTTAAGTATACAGAAAAATGATCTTCGAAAATATTAAAATACCACATAAATTCATTAACGATCGCATTATATCGGGTATGATTCTTTAATCGGGCTTTTATGCCACCCACAAGTAGTCCTCGATCAAATTAATAGAAATCTATAAGAGTTCGTTCTCATGTGCTGTCTACTACAAATTATTGTAGTTTTATTGAGTGCTTTATCTCAAGTAAAATAGTTGTGATAAAATCAAAGTATAGAATTTCAATCTAAAAAAAAACTTACTCAATGGTAATGCTGTTCAACCTTCAAATATCTAGAAAATTTCAGCACAATTTCATCATTCGTTTATTTGACGAATACTCTAAATGGAATAAAAAATTCTATACAACTATAATAAATTGGAAGAGAAAATGCATGGAAAAAAAAACTCGTGTAGAGATCTACAAATTTCGTCAGGATCTACTGATTGGTAAAGTATGAGTTTTATTGAGGAGTCACATTTGAAGAACGTTATCTTGTATGCTTTTTGGCTAATAACTAAAGCCCTTATATTCACTAACAAGTAATACATAATTTCTGTATCTCCGACAACCTTCAAATAATAATAAATATTTTTCTATCATTTGATAAAGAAAATGGTGTTGACGTAAATTCAATACCAATGTTAACACAATATTTTGAACCTGATTGGATAATCGAACGAACTAAATATAATAATTATTTGCGACTTGTTCGTAATCAATTTCATAGTTTAATTGATAATAAAGAAAATACAATTATTGATTCAATTGTAACATCTCTTAAAACAATTTCTTCAAAAGATATTCATTATCCTGAAACAAAACCAACATCATTTATTAATAATTATTGATTTTATATTAACATTAAAGGAGAAAAATCTTCTATCTTGTATTGTTTTTTCGAATAATCGAATGTTATGTGAAACAATGACTACATATGTTGCTGAATATTTTGAAAAATTAGAAAAAAAATTAAGAGAAACAAAATATAAAAATCAAATTGAATCATTAAAAGAAACGTTTAGAAACAATTGAAAAAACTACAAAAAAAAGTATCAGAATCTTCGAATAAACGAAATTATGATGAAGATAGTATTACTGAATTAGGATTATTAGAAGAAGAAAAAAATAATCAAATTATACTTTCTGGTCTTGAACAACAATTATTAGATGGTATTTTAGATGAAGGTACATTAGCAAATCGACATGAATGTGATCGAGAATTTGTTGATTCTCTATTAGAACGAGCATCATCGAAAAATCCAAGATTAATTGGATATATGCAACGAGCTGTAGCTTATCATCATGCTGGTTTCAATAATAAAAGTCGAGTAGCTGTTGAAGCACTTTTTCGTAAGCGATATGTTCAAGTAATTTTCTCTACGGCAACACTTGATATGTAACAAAATATCTTTTTACTTTATTCCTTAACAATAACAGCTAGAAGAGATCGGAGAAAAGATTTTATTAGGTAAAAGAGTTTCCTAAGAAGTTGGCAGAGTCAATATTTCTAAAAAAAATCGACATTTTTCGAGATGAATATATAGGCACAATCTTACGCGTTTTTGCATATATTGTCGAATCCTGAAACAAATTTGTTTTCCATCGTGTTCGTTTTGGTGAGCTGAGCTTTATTTTATTCGATTGACAAATACGTTCTTTTTCGAATAAGACAAAGGAATTTTTATATTCGATCTTCAATACTAAAGCAATCGTCGGTTGTATACAAAACATTTTCTAAGATTTTAAAAGCTCTGAACATGAAAAATTCTTTCCTGTTCTCGAAACGGTAAATGTTCTCTCTAGAATGAGAGTAGTCCAAGCCGTATACTTTGAAGTTTATTCAAAAAGACTTTGTATCCGTGAAAGATGTACTCTATTTTGTTCGGAAATATTGTCTCTATTACATGAGCTTATTAGTATTGCTTTTTCCATAGAAGCCAGAAAAACGATTTTTTTTTAGTTCTAGTTTTTCATAGGTTTTTCATATAAGCCTGTAATATAGTATTGCACAGGTTGAGTTTTTTGAACTTGAGCCCGACCCGTCAGAAAAACGAACTTCAATCCTAGAAGAATTTTTTATTTTTTGCGAACAAAGAAATCTATTCCGCATGTAATCGTGTATTGTGCTGAGAAATCATTCAATAGACTAGCACTTCACTCTTTTCGTCCATAAGGTACATCAGAAACAGAAAGTAGGCAAATAAGTTCTAAGAAAAATAACCCGAAGAAATCCGCACCACTTCGCCCGATCCAACTTATCAAAGTTGCACGCCGAACCCGGTTGCAGGTTGGGTCGAATTGCAGTACTCTGGCCTGTAAATAGGCTTTTAATAAGTAACTCTTCTAATGGTCAATTCTTTCAGCTAATCAAAGCTTTTCTTCATTTTATTCTTACTATTATCGTTAATCAAAGGAGTCAATAGTAAAACACCTTTTGCTTTCATCTTCTAGGATATGAATTAATAAAAGTTCTCTAATTTTTTTTGGCTTTGGGCATTCATATGCCAACAAAAACTGTTGCTTTTGTTAAAGATTCAATCTATCTTGATGCATTACAATATCGACAATCATCAGGTCGCGCTGGTCGTTGTGGTTTTGATGTTCAAGGTCATGTTGTATTTGTTGATATACCTTTACCAAAGATTAGTCATTTACCTAATGCTAAAGATTCAAACGATCCAATAAATCGATTATTAATTGCATTACAATGTTCTTTACTTGCACAATTGTCTATAAAACATCAATTGATAGATATTCAAATACATTTTCATGGTTTATTTACATTAGATTTTCTTTATCGATTAAATTTAATTAATCAATATGGTAATCTTATTGCTTTAGCTAGTCTTCTAACACATTTACATTATTTTTAGCCAGCAAATATTTTGCTTGTCTATCTTATGGATACTCAATATTTTCATTTAGTTAAAGATGAAATTGATATTATGACTAGATTTGCTTATCTCTTTACTTATATGCCATGGTAAGTTAATGAAAATGTCTTGATAATAAGGTTTCTCATTACTTTCCGAGATATCACAAAAAATTTGAAATTTTCAGAACACATATATATCTCAAAGAATTGAGCGAAAATTCTCATTCTAGATGCTGTCTTCTATGAGATACTTAGCTCACAATATGTCAAAAGCTTTGGTTTCGTTCCTTCAGCATGCTATACTCGACTGACTGTAATATTATGGACATCTCTCTTTGGTTTCTTTATATATCTCCGTTAAATAGTAGTTAGTACATGTGAAAAAAATGTTACAGTTCGATTCCTCTTATCATATTGAATTAGCTAAGGTAAAGCAATAGTCTTTCTTTTATTCCTACAAGATGTCCATAATTAGATACACATGAATAATATACTTCTTTATTATTACTACGAGAAGAAATAGATTGGAAGTCGAAAATTTTCTACTGTGCCATATTGATCATATCTAAAACCAATGTAGGACGATGCCTCACACACCCTTCTACATCCGCTAAAAAATGAAATGACTATGAGATCTCAAAAATCGTTCTTTTCAAAATCAACAGAAGTTTTTGTTTTGAATATTACCAGAAGACACTGATTCTCCAACTCAGAACGTAGGAAAGATGAACGTCATCATTTATATATATTCTATATATTTTATAGGTTAATTACACGTCGTTAATACCAAGATCTATCAGTATATCGACGAGAATCTAAATATAATTCGAAATTATTTTTACCAACAATTTCTAAGGAATTTCGAAAACATGTTGATAAACATAATTCAATAGTTACAGATGTATATGGATGTTATATAGAAAATGTAACAAAATATTTACGTTCATTAAATAATGAACAAGAAGAAATTTTGTCTTTTTTGAATACATGATTTTCTCAAAAACCTGCTTATAATAATGGAACATTTATATATAATCTTCATTATCATCAATCCCAACAAATAAAAAATCCATCAATATCGCCATTTGTTGGTCTATCTGGTCTTACACATGAACAATTCATGTCAAATTATAATTCAATTATTAGTTCATGGGATCTTGTTTATTGGTTTTGATCTCTCACCAAAAGTTGTTCCATTTGTTGATATTGATTGTCGTGATCATACGAATACATCATATTATTTGAACAGTTATGCATTAGATTTTTTTAAACAAAGTTCTGAAGCATCATTAGTTAATGAAAATGGTTTAAGTCCCGGTGATACATATAGTCTTTTACGGGATCTTCATCTTATACTTTCGTCTGTTAAAACATCATTAGAAGTAATAATAAATAATGAACAAAAACAGACTACAAACAATGATTTAGTAATATTTGAGCCATTGTACAGAACATTATCCAATGTGCAAAATATTTTTTCAAGAAAGTTTCAAAGACAATATCTAAGTCGAAATCAAATGTAAATGATTTCATATTAAGTTGTGATTAAACTATCAAAATTTGTTTTTTTTTCTGTTTTGTGTAGCAAGATAATTATAATAAACTCGCGTTTGTTTCTCAAATATTCATTAATAGCAAAAATACTTTAAAATTATAAAAATAATAATGAAAATTTTGTTAGATTTAGTTACATCTTGCTGCCTGTTTTTCTAACTAATAATCATCAACGAGATACATAGAGCTAAGAAATTTTCAGGTGTTTTAATATTGAATTTATTATTATTCAATATACATAAAATAATACGACAATAACTAAATTCGATAATTAACCTGAAATAAATTTTCAAAACGTCAAAGGAGCCTCAAATATGTAACAGAGATGTGCATCGTCCAAAAAAGTTTTGAGAACAATCACTTCGCGCTCGTCTCTCTTGTTATATGAATCGTTCCTTATGAGATAACATTCGTTTCACTAGCCCATTTCGATCAAAATTCAGTGACTTTCAATGTAATAAGCATAATATATAAATTCTAGTTTCAGAGTGAAATGATTTATCCTATAACAACATCTAGTTACACCTTGGCTAATTTAAGATTCTTCCCTCATATTTTTAACATTTTTAATTGCTGTTTTTAATGATCAAATACTTTTTTATAACAATCTTTATAGCGCTATACGTATGCATGAGAAAACAGTTACGGCGTGAGTGTGGGTGTAAAGATGATCCGAATAGTCAAAATCATACCCACATTTACACACCCATACCCTTATGCAGAGATGGGTGACCATATCATTTCATTGTATCATGTCATGGTTGATTGTTAGTTTGATTTCTCTTTACTATTTCATAAACATGTACATAGAACACAATCGATACATATCAAATAAACTAAAGGTAGATGAAAGAGTGAGAATATTTGTTTAACTTTATATCTTATCGCCCTCTAATTTGTCCGATGTATAAGGCAGGAGCAAAAATCAAGGGAAAAAATAGTTCTTTGATGATGATTCATCGTATGTCGGCTAAATTCTGAACATTCGAAAATAATGTTCGAAATTTTGCTCTATCATTACTGACCTATTCGAACATGTTTCTCTAAATGTCATTAGATCTCAAGAAACCAAGATCGATGTGCGTACAAAATAAACATGTACGAAACGTAATAATACGATTAATAATGATTGTTCCTTTTATATGCATTCTTGTCTTCTTTCTAGAAGCGATTATTGAAAAGTAGTTGAGCAACGACAATCTTTCGAGAAAGATAACACTTTATTAAGTAAAGTATTTCTTGAAGTGTGGTACGCAATAATTGTTCATGGAAATCTGATTTCGATAATTCATTTTTATGGATAATTTTTTTTCCGACTTCTAAATATTCGAATCTCAACTTTCATTACGAATGAATCCGACCGTAGTTCTGTACATACTGCTAATGATGTTCGTGTTAATCGATTTCATATTTACTGCAAATTCAATTTCTAAACCGTGTTTAATAATATTTTATTTAAAATTTTTCTATTGAGATCGTTCTGTGAGAAAAAAAAAACAAATTCACAATGAATATATAAGCAATATTTTGTTTTAGAGCTTTCTATATATCTTAAATATTTTTTCTAACTTATTTGTTTCCACGATAGTGAATGTGAAAGATATTCTTATTTCAATTGCTAATCAAATGATAATGACGCAAAACAAAATATTATCAATAGTTAATCAGAGCAGATATTTGAAGGAGATCAGTAGAATTTCGTTTATTTTGGAATGTCTCAAAATTTTATCTCCTACAGTCTTAGTATTTGTTTTTATTTTTATTTTTTGAATGAGTATGATAATAATAATGATGAAGATTCAAACGAATATACACCATCAAATCTTTTTTAAAATAACATAGTAGAATTTATTGACAATCTAAGTTAAACAAAAGTACAACAAATGACGGAAATGGAAAATCAACAATAATTTCAACAGTAAATTATTATTAAAAATAAGATCTTTTTCGAACAAAGAACGTTTTTCTTATTTGTTGATTCGTCACGGAATCTTTCTTTGTAATAATTTTCTTCAATTTGTGACCTATTGTATTATATTTTAAAGTCTATATCTTCATTTTTTTTAATATTTTTTCTCATTGTTTTCTATTACAAGACTTCTTTACTTCAGAGAATTGTAAAAGAGAGGAAATTTTACGTGAAAAACTTGTGTCTCACTTTAACATTAGATGAGTGATAGATGCAGAATATAAAATTAATTCACTGATGTCCTATGGAAATCAATTAGAATGAGTTTTTAGTGTGTGGATAACAAACGTCATTAAGAACACGTTATGAACAGTGCGAGAAAAGTATTCGAAACGATAGCCCATATTCGGAACTTTTTATTCACAATGTGTTCGTAGCTGGAGTGCAATCTGAATTTGCCTTGACCTCGACAACTGCTCCACGAACTATTACTAAAGAAATGTCGCTTGCCAAAGAAAGAAAAAAGAACTAGCTAAAGCCTTATAGAGGTCGTAATATTTTTTTCTTTGGAGAGATGAAACAGAACGACGATGACATCAGTTTGTTTTTATTTTTTTGTTGCAATCATCTAAGCAAGGAAAATATACAGCGTGTTATCACGAGAAATAACAATCGTTCGTACTCAATGCACACATGATTATCTATCGTTCACTATAGTAGAGACAAATATAAAAATAAAAGAATAATATTGAATGTACAATTTAATTTTTTATAGATTTATTATCTCACTTACAAAACTATGGATCCAATACCAACAGACATTGAAGCGATGGAAAAATTAGAAGAGAACACCAATCAAACAAAAATGAATGCAAAATGTTGTACTAGAAATTTCATGTCAGCAGTAACATGAGTTGACAATATATAAATTGCTATAATATTTTTTTATCTGTTTAGTTTAATATCAATTTTCTCAGTAATACCATTAGTTGCAATAACTATTGGTCTTTATTTTCAAAATCAGTGTCCAATCAATCACTGGATTCCTGTGTGTTTAGTTATTTTGGGTTCATCAAGTTTAGGTCTAGTTCTTTTTGTTGCCCTGTGTCTCTTGTAAGTATTTATTTCATCTCTCTAGATTTTTTTGAAACGTATTGATCTTTTATTCTTATATCGAATAGACATGTCAGTTTAACAAAATTTCCCGATGATTCAAATTCAACACGTGCATACAAATGTCGATATTGGATAATTAATTGTATTATTATTATAATCATGATCATATTCATTCTATGCATATTTATTTTTAACGGTATCTTCTTAGCAATAAGACGTAATGTCAAAAGAAAAATTCAATTTGATGATTCAACAGAAATACACACGTATTGCCATCCAATTGCATATTATAGTATTGCAACTTTTACGATCAGCACATTGTTATTATCAACTATCTGCTGTTTGTACATTCGTGCACGATGAGAATCGTGATTATCATATATTGACTATTACATAGAAATTGAAATTGAAGATTTAAATTTCAGCTGTTTATTATTATGACTATCGGTCATCATACATTTTCAGTTAGATAATTTAGTTTTTCTTGGATGATCATATGTATTGTTCTGTCTTGTCAAAGAGAAATCATTGATATGACACTTTATGTGAGAAAGACGGAATGTTCTTGAAGATATAGCTACCAACCAAAAAATTAGCTACGAACAACAATGATTTGTATTCCATTCAATACACATTGGAGAAGGAAAATTAGATTAGAATCACATCGAACAAATTGTGTTTGAAAAATGAAAATACCTTTCTAGAGTCAAAAAAAAATGCATATACGATATTAATAAAGTAGAAAATATGTGAGACGAATACATTAAAATGAATATGAGATTTCGAAACTTCGCGAAGCTCAGAGATGAGTAAAAAAATTGAAGGTCTTTCAGAAACGGAACAATCAATCAATTCTCTAATGCGCGGAGTTACTGAAAACCTTGGTGTTTGCTTTAGAAACCCTATAGATTTGGACTGAAGCGTTAAAAACGAAAAGGGCTAATTTCCGCTGTGGTGAAGTGTATAGTTCTGTTTTTCTGATGTTAATTCAATTTCAGAAAATATACGATATGGGGAAGTCATCACGCATTGCTTACTATTCGGTGAATGGGAGAAGAACAAGAATGCGTGTATCTCGATGCTATCGAAACTTTGATCAATTCATGAACCTTTCTTATTCTATACTTTTGAGCTGATATATTATCGTCTATGCGTCTGTACAATTCTGCACACTTTATACATGACATTCTGTCGCCACGATCTCAACTCTGCCATATTGCTTGTCCATATAATAAAAAATTTGAACATTTTGCAACAGTCATTCAATTAGAACAAAATTATTTGACAATTCTGTGTTCAGAAATTTATTTTCATGCGATCTTTTGGAGACACCAAACACAGATCGACATTGAGAAAAAAATCAATTAGCAATAGCAAAAGAAAATTTTGGTAAAAAGATTATTTGAGACACTATAATATTCGCACAAGCAGACGTGTAAACAAAAACAAATGGCGTTTTCTGTTTAGATGCGTCAGTAATTAAACTATTTGTGTCAAAGTTAATGCGTGATTATCACGTGACCGAGATCAGTCCTATTTTCAAAGTTTGTTATCTTTTTGTCATGCTGAAGAAAGCACATAAGAGCCGTAATACTGTTATTTTTTAGAGAAATAAAGATTTTGTAAAAAGAATCTAGAACATCATCTTCGAATGACATTTTTTCAAACGTTATTCTACCATCATTTTCACAATTAACAAACCACTTTTTATTTTTAATCCAAAAAACGATCTTCGAAACGGTTTGCTGATTTTTTCCATTTTTGCTTTTGTAAATTCTGAAGATGCATGTTTCAAAAAAAAAGAATTCGAATTTATCTAATTGAAGTAAATTTCTTTGTATAAATTTTTCCCATCATTTTCCATGGAATAATGTACCAGAAGCAATTAATTTTAGATGTATGAGTGATGATGTGAGGGAAAGAAATGCTTCAATCAATTGAATCTCAAGAAAATAGGTTTCGATAAAAAGTGAAATCATTCGTTCGAATTTTATCGAATTAGAGAATACAATTGTATGATCTTTCATATTATCTCTCAATCCATGTTTCAATATTAGTGTTTTTAATAAAGATATAGATTGAAGTAGAGTACATAAATCATTTAATGTTATACCTATATGCATTGTAAAATATTGCATTGAATAAATCGTTGATCATACTATGTTCCAAAATTGATTTTGTTCAAGTTTTCAAAGTTTGCTTTGTGAAAGAAATGATGTGAGTCGAATACTTATACTGCATGAATCAATTGAATTGATAGTGATTTGTTTTAAAATTGATTTCAAATAAGATTCATGAATGTTGAATAATTTTAATGAATGAAGTGGAGCAAATTGCTTAATGTAAACAATCGAAAGAATTAGTTCAACATGATTTGGTACTGGATTATTATCAAACAGTGTAAGTGAAGTAATATTTTGAAATGTCATTAGTCGACAAAGACGATTCAATTGAAATTGTGATATCGCGTAACAATCAAAATTGTATTGATCATATGTATTTGTAAGAGTATAAACTCTTTGACATATTTGACGAATAGAGAATAGTATATTTCAAACATTATTTTATATAGATAATATACTAATTGAGAGAACTAATAGATCTTCACACTCCTACTACATCCGACTAGACTTGTTATAGTCTATGATTGTTTGATCCAGTTTCAAAACATATATTTCAGAATAAAATGTACCATCATTTGATGAAGAAAAAAGACACATGAGCTTCCACTGCAGAAGCATCGATCAATAATAGTTGTTATTCAATCTTTTACTGATGAAATATCAAGAGAGAAATAGCGTATTCCTGTATTCCTTAGTGCTTCTTCGTAATCCTTGTACTTCTCAAGTTCAGAATACGCTGTTTCTCCTTTATGAAACATGCATCTTTAATCGGCACGTTGATCGAATCCTGCTGTTTCTTCTTAAATTACAATGGCATGTTTTGTCAAGATATTGGTTCGCTCATAACATCGTGAGATTGGGCACGAACTACTGGCCAAAATATAGTCGAACAAATTCAAAAAAGAATATTTTTTATCCTATCGTCAATGTCAAAATATGATGACTGTCTCATCTCTGTCCTGCGCAAACTGAAGTCCTTGTCTATTTTCTTTCTGTTCTCTGTCGATTCAATAGGACTGTTAAGATTCGTTCGTTACCATTTGTTTTTTTATGCATCTATTAGAGTCAATTTTTTTGTGTCGAAAAGATCGATTCGCTTTGCATTTCATCCAAGTTTGCAACTGTGTCAAATAGTGTATTGTAAATCGAATGAGTGCAAAGACAGAACAAATCATTCAGTGATTTAAATGCAACTGGTAATCTGTCGACTTCGACAACAGTATCAAAAAATACTAATAAACGAATCTCGAGTGCGGGAATGAACGATGTGGACATATTCTTCAAGTGTTGTGACATATGCTGCAATCTGGTACGATGTTTTATTCGATGATTTCGAAGGACATATCACATTAATGCCTTTCTGCAGATTATTCATTCATTTCATACCTTACTCTTTTTATTTAATTTTTGTACTAGTATATTATTTTTCGAATAGAGACCCCATATACTTCGCATATCCTTATTAATCTTTTATTAAATAATATGATAACAGAGAAGACAGAAATTGTTCTAGATGATTTAATCTATGTTCTTTATACGATTGGACTCAGACATACGCTAGTTTTTGGATTCAGGGTTGAAGACATGTAAGAATGGTCGATTTAATTTCGATACGATCATGAGAATTGATTATATGATGTGATGAATTGCTCGTCACATGGTTAATATCCTTGTGTGTCAGGCACCCAGCTGCGTATCATCATCGTTCATCTTCCCCTCTTCTCATCACTTTTTCTCTCTTACATGTCACGGCTTATCTGTTCTCTTTTTCTTTCTCCTCCCTCTACATGTCTATATATACTCATGCGTGTATGTTGTTGCATCAAACAATAGATTCACGAGCCTCATGCCCGTCACATATGAGTCTTCATTGTAGACTTACTCTTTGTTTAAAAGTTTTTCCATGTGAATCAAGCGATGAACAGATAGAATATTGTGTCTAATACGATTTCAGTTGGTTACATTCGCCAATAAACAACTTTCATGTTTCAAATATCATGTTATGATTCCTATCTAGAAATTCATTTTCGAATCAGATGAATCAAAGAAATCAGCCATGTCTAGTCTTGCTTCGCTTGATTTAACGGGAAAATTCAGTTTCAAAGCAATCTCTAGCATTCTAGTCGACTTTAGGTGAAAAACCTCTTGTTGAAATGAAGTACATTGTAAAAGCGACGAATTACTTGTCGACCGGACAAAATGAAGCTTTTTCAGAATCTGAAGTGTTCACAAAATAAAATTGAGTTTGCACAATCGAATAACGGATGTTCAAAAGGACTGAAGATGCAACAGCAGAGTATCAAGCATGGCATCTGCCATGAAACTCGATTTGAAGCACGTAACGAGATATAACACAAACAAGTACTTTCGATTGTGACATCAAAGATTCAAAACGAAAAGAGCTAAAAGTTTTTCAAATTTTTTTCTTGAATAAATTATTGATTTTATTCAAATAAAAACTGATATGTCAATAAAAAGAATTCTAGTTTAATTGAAAGTCGAACAAAACAGCTTTTCGTGACATTCTATTGAATGTCGACTTTAAATGTAGATGCGTACAAAAGCCTCTATTTCTCTTCGACAAACTGGACATGTTCGAAGTGAATGACCACAGGGAACACAAGTTGCCAAATGTCCACATGGAATACATGCAAGACGTTTATCTTCTGTTAAACAAAGTATACACAAATTCGACGACGCCAAATCCGTTGTCAAACTAGCTTTTATTTCTGTTTTTGATTGATGATCGATCGTTGCAATGGTTGATTTTGATTCGATTATGTTATTAGTAGTCGATGAATTTGATGAAAATGGTTCGATCGATGTTGGCATGGATGATGATGACCCTATTTATTCACAAGCGAATACTAATATGATCATACAAATAACTAACAACATACTGGATTGTTCTGTCTCACGAATCATTTTCATCTTGATACTCGGTACAATAATGTTTTCTTGACGACCATTGATATGATCGATTTGTTTTTGAAGAATAATACAAGCAATTAATAAATCACAATCTGTAGCAAAATCATTTTCTAAACAAAAAGAAAAATAGAAGAATGTAAATTTAATTGAATTTAAGTTACGAACGTTTTAATCTTAGTTGATCCTCCCAGCAACGTTTGATAACTGATAATTTGAAATTTCGATTGAGTAATCTTTGTGAAATAGGCAAACCGAGTCGAGCAGCAACAAATCGTGACAATGTGTTCTCATCAGGAATCATTAATTGATAATTATTTGTTTGATGATTGTTCGAAAAATTTTCATTTCTCTCTATTTGATTTGTTCCAGCACGTTCTATAAAATAAATCAATAAATTTTTTTTTAACTTGTATCATTTCTTCAATAGAAAAAACGACAAACCTTGACGAATTCGTTTTGATTCTTGAACTTGTCGATATAGTTCATCGTCGCATAATTGTTTAGCGTAGGCACAAAGTGGAAACCAACGTACATGTTCAATCAATGGATTATCTTTGGGACCCCAATTTTGAAGTGATCCGTTACAATAAAAACAGGTAATAATTGTTTTTGAACCAGTATAAAAAAATCCTGCTCGAACAAGATCATCAACAGAAGGTAAGTCTTCTTGAGGCCAAGAATTAAATGATGATTGACGTTTCGAAATTTCAATATAGGCTTGATGAAATGCTGATGCTTGAGCTATTTCATTAAATCGCAATAGATTAGATGTTACTGCTCGATTATTCGAATTATCATTAAGAATTGATGCAGTTGATGTTTGACGAGTTTTTAAAATAAATAAAACATATGGACATAGAGATGAAAGAGTTTGATGTACTTCCTCTGGATCATCAATATGTGGTGTCCATTGTTGACAAATTAAATTACAATACAAACAAATGACACGATCACCAACATTACAATAAAAAAATCCAGCCGAAATCATTTGTGTTCGAGATAGTACTTTCTGATGAGGCCAATGTGAAAATGTTCGACAACGAACTTCTTTCATTATCTCTACTTCTATCAGACAATGGTCGATCTTTTGATCGATTTTTTTATGTTTCAATAATTTTTCTTGATTATGTGATAATTCAAAGTTTTGGTTCTCTGTTATTGAACCATCTGAAGAAGAAAAGTTTATTTGATTCTTTGATACAATCGATTGAACGAATGAACAATTTGGACTCTGTTGAACATGAACAGTAAATGGATTCATGTGTGCTGTCCATTCAGATACTTTTAGACCACATGTGAGACAATGAGCAGTATCATCAATGCCGGTGTATGTGAAACCAGCCGCATTGATAAGAATGGATGAATGAACACCTTGCTTCTTCAACTGTTTACAAACATCAACTACACGACGATAGATTTCATTTTTCCAAGCAGAGCTTCGTTTTTTCTCATCAATACATTTTGACAAATCAATATCTTTTTTTATTGATAGCATTGATAGCACTATAAACAATGGTTTACTTTTGAAGTTTTTAAGTGATTTCAATGAGCTACTTTTTTCGTTTGTGTCTATCAGAGAAAAGTTATTTATCTTAATGCTGATTGTATATATACTAACCCACTTGAGAACGAGACTTACATACAGATTGAGAAATTTCTCAATGACTAATTGCAAATAATAGTGGGAAACATTGATATAAGAAAATGATTGGATATGTCGACTACTGTGTTATTCTAAATGCCATTACTGAATATATATTCCAATTTTGATATTTTCGTTCCATTTTCCATTACAGTGATATAAAAAAAACTAGTTGCTACAAGAAAGTACTGAAATAACTAACTGACGATTATGACAGACCTCTAGTCATACTTTAGTGCCATCTATAGAGTGTAAATCATCATTGGTATATTAATATTGTCAGGAATTAAATTTTTTCACTACTTGACGACCAGCAATAAACGATTAAGGCCCCGAACAGACTGAACACGATAAAACTGAATTAACCAATACAATTCGCGTTGCTATGCAAAAAGGCCAATCGTGTTTCTTAATTCACTTTGAATTAGTCAGTCTGTTCGGGGCCTAAGGCTTTCGAATTAGAAAAGCAAACAAAAGATTTAAATTGACATCTCTACACATGCCTTTTTACTTCACTATCAGGTGCAATACGAAAAGTTCGATGATATATTGTTGGCTTTTAAGAGTAGCTGTTAGTGATGTAGCCATAGAAAAGTCATTGTTCCTTTGTCAGTGATTCTGTATCCTCTGTAAATATCTCTTTCTTAGCCAAAAACGATGTCTGTCCTCTTGGTGAAGTTTTTTTTGCGCTTAACTTTCGTCTGTGAAAATTTTCTAATTTTACTCTCAGTAACCAGAAAAAATGCATCCGTAGATCGAACAATCGAAGACAAGTTGAATGATTATTTGATAAAAGCCTACTTCTTTGCCAATTCTATGAGCATCTTAGGAGAAAACTCCTACCTGAAAAAATAAATAAAGTTTGTTCTTGTATTTGTAAATGGAGTTCTCCGAGATTTATGTTCTTATCAGTCTCCTGCCATTTATTAATATGCGGAAGTTGACTCATATTTGCGTCATTTTAGTTGGAAAGAAGGAAAAACTTTCTTTTCATTCGAAGAATGATGCATATGAAAATGAATCATTGCATTGCATCACTAGAAATTTAACTCGTGAACAGTTCGAAGATAACATGAATATTTGACTCAAAACAAACCTCTCAAGTTTATTTATACGAGTGAACCATGAAAAGAGGAATATTTCAGAAAAAGCGATTGTTTTTTAATCTTTGAAATTAGGAGCATATATTTCTCGAGATGAGTAAAATACGTCTTGACTCACTCTGCACACGCTATTTATGTCGGTCCAAGACGATAAAGCAATAACAAATGATTCAATCAATAAAGTTTATGCACAAGGAAAATATTTCTGCAGAAATATTGTTCTCACTAGTTTTTTTCAACCATATGTCGCTACTCTACGGGTTGGTACAACACTGTTTGATGATTTGTGTCAACTTTGAATCACACATGACTTCGATATATCAATGTCTAGCACCTATGAGCAACACAGCATGATGAGCTGACAGATGAAAAAATGTTGTAGAAGCAGGAAAAAGGACTACTCAATGAATGCATTAAACCACTCACGCGCAATTTTTCTTGCATTGAGTTTTCTGTGAATTTTCACAATATTTTTGCAATCTCTAACAATAGGTCAAAAATTCAGTACAATGGACAGAACTCGGCAACTATAGGCCATGGGCTCGAATCATCTTAAGATTTTTTCTTATCTTGATATACTCTGTCGAATGAGAAATGAATGAGTACTAAGAGACTTGGACACTTCACTCATGAGTGCATTGTTTGATTATATGACATATATCATTCTCGAATGTAGTAACATCCAAGCAACACACACGATGTGCGTCATTTCGTGAAGAGGTGTGCCAATCTGTGTTTTCTTTCTTACGCCATTTCACTGATAACTTAATCTGCAAAAAACATAAATGAAGTAAAAAAATGACTGTCCCATTTAGGCCATTGCGATTAATGTAAACTCTTATACAAGAATACACACATAACAATCCACGATGCATATGAAATCGTGTATGTGCCTTAGGTTGTCAATTGAGCATCGATCAAGATTGCTATGAGAAAAAGCTTTTAGTACGATCTTTACGGAATTGAAATGCGAAACACGATAGAGTCAGTTTAGTCTGAAACGAAAACCTTAACTACATTTATCCCTAACTATGATGCTGTCAGAATGGTATTTACTAAAATCTATTGCGGTTCCAGCGAGATAGAAGAAAAAAAGCTTGATTGATGAACATGTTGAAATTTGTTCCTTCAAGCTGTATTCTGGGAATGATAGCTTGAAGTTATTTATTATGCTAATTGGCTTTTCTATGATAGAATTAGAATTAATTTGGTGAAAGTTGAATCAATAGATTATATGTAAATTAATTCAAAAGTGATATTTGATCAGTTGCTTTTTAGGGTGTGTGGGTGTGAATTAAACGAAGGATCAGACCCCCTCACACCCACACCCTACTCTCACTCATGTCCATCCATCGACCAACGCATGATAGTTTTCTTTCATAAAGATATCTCCAAAATCAGCCTCTGGCTATCAAAGATGTTTTTTAAATTTCACAAATGGATTTTGTACTGTTTGTTATCGACTGCATATAATTTAACAGTTCATTTTAGTCATGAAAATTTCTGGTTCAAAACTAAGGTAATTAACAATTTTATGCTGAAATGTTTCCTGCAGTTATTATAACGCTATAAACTATTTTAGGTAAATGATTGTGAGACTGAATGTGAGTGTCAAGATCATGGTAATCTACTATTCATCTAAACGCGCATCCAGCGATACCTGTATGATATCCGAAATTGCTAGCAGCATACGCGAATAGCTGCCTATAATAAAACCAACAGTTTGGAAAGACTGCAGTGTATGTTTGGAAAAGTGCCTGTTTTTATGCAGATTAGTATTCAGTTTGAATTCAATGAGTGCATCGAATGTCAACGAAAATTAGCAAATACTTTATACTTAGCTTAGATTTCAGCAACACTGATACCATGATCAATCCTTAGTGTTCAAAAAACTCGATGCTATCTGTCATTCCGTGGTGGACAAGGGGCTCCTTTGATAGCGATTTCTTAATGTTCATTTTCTCTATCGTACACTATTTTTGACATCTAGTTGGGATATTGGCACTTAGACTAACCTTTTCGAATTCGATTGCTAGTCTGCAAGAGTAGTTCAATTAGTTGCTCGGTTTTTTTTTCACAAATCAATTTTCAATATTTGATTTCTTGTGATTGTTTTCACTCTAGAGAAAAACATGTTTACTTTCGACATCTATTAACCAGCAATTAATTCTAGCTGTCTGCATCAGTTGTCAAAATTGCATCTTCTAGTAATAAAATATAAAGTAACAGTCCTTTTGAAAAGATTTGTTTTATACTAATTATCTGAATTGAGAAACATGTTTGCCTATTGCAAACGTAGTTTATCATTTGATTAAATATTTACTGATCCTATTATAAATACGCATTTTAATCTTGTAAATCATATGTAACTGACATGTGTATGATGCCATTTTTCTTCACCTGCTCGTCGTGCAAAAAAAAGAAATATGGAGGAATGAAGAAAAAAACTGACTCGGACTGCACAAAGAAAGTCAACAGAATTGTTCGCTGATTTACAATGCTTGATCGTCATCGTGACGATTTGTTTGGTTGTTTTGTTGATGATTTGACATTTTTTATACATTCCAATTCCGTATAACTGACAACTAAATCACTTTTCTGTTGAAGACCATAATAAGAACTTCAATGATCATCAAAGGCAATTGATAGGAAACGATTCAAAACTTCGTATATTGAATACTATCAACAGGTTAGTGAAAAATAATATAACTTTCCTTTGTTAAACCCATTTCTAAAGAATAGAATATGACATATAATTCTATTAGGATCACGAGTGGTTGTCAAATATGGTAATTATCCTGTGATAAATACATTTGTTAATGAGAGTCCTAGAACGTAGCGAGCCCCTGTTCTTTGGCTGGCTGCGTAGATCGTGACACATTTGTCGATATGCTTTATTTTTTCATTGTCACGAGTTTTCATTAATCTAAACAGAATCTATAGATACGGTTTGACTGATTCTCTCGTTCTCCATTTTAATCCCATAGGAAGCACACTGGAAGCTTTTTCTATGTTTTTTTTTCTTATATAGCATAGAGACAATGGGAAATGGTGCATTAGATAAACGTGCTCCGTCCAGTCATATTCAAGGTATCGCATCTACAAATGTCCCAGCATACTCAAATCATGGAACCAATTCATTTCGAGAAAATTACCTTTATGGTGTCTATACTGGAGTTCAATGGCAGTGTGTAGAATTCGCTCGTCGTTGGCTCTTATTGCGTAAAGGTTGCATTTTCTCTAATATCGACATTGCTTCTAAGATTTGGCAATATATATCGTATGTTGAACGTGTCACTGACAGTAAAAAGTTTCGATTAATACCTCATTCAAACGGTTCAAAGAAAAAACCACAAAAAGATTCATTTCTTATTTATCCACGTAGTCTACGAATGCGTGTCGGACATATTGCTGTTATCACCAATGTGGATCGAAACTATGTCTATATTGCTGAACAAAATCGTGGATTTCATTATTGGTCTTCTGACTATGCTCGTCGAGTACCACTCATTTATACACATGATGACGGTTACTTTATCGATGATAATTGTAAACTTTACGGATGGATGGAAATCGAAAACAACGATCAGTTACAACCATTGAATGCATCGAACATTCAACAAATCCTAGAAAAATATCAGACATTTGATGAATAAAGTAAAATTGACTTTATTAAACTTCTTATCTTAATAAATGGATGTCACATAACTAAAAGCTTAGCTTCGAAATACAGGGTGTGGGTGTTGGTTCGAACGTGCTGGTAGATCAGAAGAACACCCACACTCTCACTCACGCCACATCCACACAGCCGCAACCACACCCATTTCCTGTATCTGCATACACACTTCCGCCAAGAAAGATATCAGTATAGTTGAAATGAAAAAATCAAAACTTAAATTGAATATAGTGCTCGAGTTCAATATGTAGAATTATTCTTTACATTTACATTTTCTATTATAAAAATATACAAGCTTCTAACCATTTGTTGTCTAGAACAGCATGTTCTTAGTGTTAGAACAATAAATATAGATGGGATATGAGAAATGAATTCTTCGTAGTTGTGCATTGCTGTTGCTACTTCCTTATGTAATGATAGTTATTCCTTTTTTGTTTTACTCATTATGTTATTAGTTTTGAATATTATTGCTGTTTAGCATTAATAAGTTATAATATCATTAGTTATTATTTAATACTAGTAATAGTAAGGCAGCAGTGGTCCCTCCTTCTCCTCCGCACAATACAATTGAAAATCAAGTATTTAGGATGAAAATTCTAGTTTTTGTTCTAGAACATCTACACAAATTGGTATACTCGATAAACAGAATCAAACTCTGCAAATAATGCAATCCACTAAAAATCTACGACAATTCAGACGGCGAATTCAGACAAGAATAGGTCGAATATGATGCTAAGTTTACTTCTATGAATATATAAATGCTGTATGATACAAATGAGAAAATGATTGGACATGCATTGACGCATGGATATGATTATGGTTGGCGATAAGTGATTATCAAAGCATAATATTTTCCTTTCATTTATTATTATAATTCAAACCAGATATGTTTTTCATTTATATTCTTGCATTTATAGTTTATCAAAACTGAAATGAAGAATATATATCTTAGTTACCATTAGCCTTTCATTTACAAGAAAAACACTAATTTATTTAGTTTTTCTAATTCTTTTTTTTTTCATAATGTTATCATTCGTTTTGTTTTCTCTTGTTTCCCTGATTATGATATCCGAAAGTATAGAGCGACATGATCCATTAACAAATTCATGTTTTTATTTCAAAAATACAGAAATGATTGTCTGCAATGTATCGCATATGAATGTTATAATTCATGATAGACTAACCTCGATGACATGTGTTCATTGCAATATTAACTATGCTGATGTTGAATTAACAACAAATTGTTCAGAAAAACTCAAGTGTATGTCACTATATTTCAATGATAATTTGATTTTTGAAAAATTTTTCATCAAACATCGTTCTATAATCAAAGATCTATATCCAGATCCAATACAAGAACATTTTCTTCCTGTACTTCATATAATTGTGAATAATTATAATTTCACATCGATTACAAATAAATACATCAATTCAATTTTATATATAAACTTTCTTGAAAGTATTATCTTTCTTAGATTTCTTAATTATTCCAGTCCAGTACGATTTACAGTTGAAGAAACTACGTTTTTCCAAAGACCTTACCAACTTGACATAATAACTCTATGCAAGTTTTCGAATCGCTATACAAACTATACATTAACATGGTTAAGGGATCAATCAAGCTTTATAAGAGAAGGCAGGTGCATTAACATCAAATCGACAAAAGAAGTGAGTAGTATCATTAGTATTTTATCTTGGTTTTGTTTTTCGGATGGACTGTCGAAATTTTCGATGGGGCTGTTGACTAAATCATTTTTTGCTCTATAGCAAAGGCACACACAGATTCTTATTATTTTTTTTCACAACACCATTACACTTCTTTTTGTTTGTTACCAATACAGTATGAAAAAAAACACTTTAAGAAGAAAACAATAAGTTTAAATTAAATCGAAATTTTTCATAGCTTCTTACTTTTCTAACAATCAATAATTAAATCTTTTAGATCATTATCTAACTCAGATGGTCCTCCTATTTTCTCACTAATTGTTGTTCTAAATATTCTGTTGTTAAGCAATTTTGTAGATCAGTTGATATTCTAGTCATTGTACTAAAAATATGTTCTACTGTTGCTGTACTAATTGATGCACATAAAAATATTCCAGCAGCTAATAATAATTGGGGATACATGTCTCTTGTCATTCGACTTTTAATTAAATCAATACATTGTTGATGTTCGTATTGTTGTTGTGCAAATAAATATTTGCGAAATATTTTCCATTCGATGCGTATATTATCATTCAATAAGGAAACAATAAGAAAATATATTAAAATTAGTTAAGCTATGCAGAGAGTAAGTCAATTAAAATTTATCAGCGTCAACAGTGATAGGAGAAACATAGGAAGAATGCCTTTCGATGCGATGTGAAAGAAACAAATGTCCGTCGAGAAAGGTATTAGGAAGATCGACAGGAAAACTTCATATGATTCATGCGTAGAGAATTCAAATATTATCAAATCGCACATCCTTCACTACTACTTGAAATAGATAAAATGAATGCTGTCTATAATGAGAGTGAAAGAAAGAGAGAAAACATCCAGTTTTTTATGAAATCAACTGTACTTTTTCAGGTGAGTGCCGCCAACTCAGTAGATAAATCATTGAGTATCATTGCTAATATTTTAAATAATCATAAAGAAAAATTTGTCCATCAAAAATCGAAATAAAAAAGTGCATGTTTGTAAAACAGCTATGTGAATATAAAAGCTTTCTCAAAAAACGTCATCTTCAATAGATCCATAATATTGATATTACAATGAATTCCAGAAGCAATATCAATGTTTTGTATTTGTATTGTCATTAATCTAGAGAGAAAATATTACAAGTAGCATATTCACAACAACAACCTCATCAAGAACCACAACTACCACGACAACAATCCCAACAAGAACAAGAGCAATAAAACCAACAACGACACCAATCACAACAACAACAACGATGACAAAAAAACCATCATCTGAAAAGAACAACAAATCTCGTGCTAAAAATAAAACGCCATCCACCATCACGTCTACAAGTTCAACAACAACAACAACAACAACAATAACCATATTATCATCTACGGGAGCAACATCTACAGTCATACGAACAATATCACAACTAACAATAGCACCATACACGAAAAAAAAACCAATATCTATATCATCAACATTACTCACAACAGTAATAATAATTTCAACGACATCGTCTACTACCAGGACAACAAAAGCTCACTATATTCTATTCATTTTATTATTTCTAATTATATCTACTATGGTAATCGCTTTGACTACTTGCTATCTCTATTATCGTCGCAAACGACTACGACTAGTTGATGAAAATCCAATCACTAGTTTAGATACGACCAACACAGATATTGATAACACTACCAATAATGAGAGAATTCAATCTAAGAGTTCGTCAAATACATCGAACACATTTTCATCGTTCTTATCAAATTCACACAATGTAGCTAAATCATCGCAAAAAATCTACCAAAATGTTGGTCACATGTTTGATGATGATGAGTTATAACGGTTTGTTTTTGAACAATGTTTTTACTAGATGCGATAGATGGATAAATGTTTCATTCGTTCTCAAGTAACTTGTAAAACGAACATGAAATAGTGTACTGCAGAAATGTTCTTTAGTTATGCAAATCACATTTTATTTAAGTAAAGTCGTTGATAAAAATTTTCGAGTATTTATCTATTATTTATTCAAGCAAAAACTCGTCGCGATACACATATTTTTCGACTAGTTGATAAGAATTTCAATTCAATGATAATTATTATTTTCGTGGATAAACTATGACATTTCACTCTAAAGATAATCTTCTGATATGGACGACTAGTATCATGAAAAAAAAAAGAGTGAATCAAAACAGACTTTGCATTTGAAATATTGACATTTAAATAATATTAATGAAGAAAGTCTCTTTATCTTGACGAATCTCTTTTGAACGAAACCACTTCAATCATATTAAATACAGAAAGAATAAAAATTGCGTCTTTTCGTAATTCAGTCTTGAAGATAACTAGATAACAACGAAAAGGACAGAAAACACCGTAGATTTTCATTTAAGAAAATGTATTTTTTCGCGATAGTGTATATATATATTGAATAAATCATATCATCCAAGCGATTAGAAAAGGAAATATCAATAGAAAGCAAACGACTTCGATATATAAGTCGTCGAGTAACAGACATTTAGAAAAGTTCTCTAATTATAATAAATAACTTCCAATGTGCAAATAATTTTTCCTTGAACAATTAAATCAATAATGCATTTTACCCATGACTAACATTTTTCAATATAAGTGATGAATGTTTAGGTGAAAACAAAGACGAAAATTAAATATCAACGATAACTACTTAAGGAAAATTAAATTTAAACTTATTCTCAGTGATATTGAAATTTGACACTCTATATAAAGAGAAAGAAAAGAGACGAATATTCGTTGTTATGTACAGAACATATTTTAGCAATTCTTGTCTAAAATAGTTTTTTATTTTTAATATGTGTAGGAAAAAGAAATTTTCGAATATGTCATTTTCTTATTTATATAGTAGAAAAAAATATTTGATTTCAAATTAACTAGTTCATAGTATAAATATATATTTTCAAAGCGACTGATTACTAGATTGATTGAATAAGTACCAACAAAAGAATCTTTTTATTTATTTTATAACTGATTTAGTCCTATATATGAATTTTCCTATTTGATTGTTGAAAGAAGCTAAAAGTATATTTTGAAATCAATAAATTTTTCATCCATAGGGTTTTTATTTGTTTACTATTGTTTTTCATAGGAAAGTATTGTTTTCCATATGAACAACCATACTTAGTATGAAGCTAGTGAAATTAAATCTGATAATTTGTTTTTGGTTTCACAAAATGCAATGACTAATGAAATTGAAATTAAAATTTTACACAGCTCACGAGAAATGGTCCCCAAGTGTGAGTCTTCATTTACAATCGGCTTTATGCCAGTTTATAGAACTTCTTGAACTGATTTCAATATTCTAAAGCATTTCTTCTCATACACTATCTTACAGGCGTTAGACCATTCTCGGTCAAAGAAGAACTGCAGTAAGCTGTTATATCGCAAAAATTAATTTTTGTTCTAGTTTATTTCTCTACATTCAAAAATTGAATTGTGAATGCGCCTCAATTGAGCGTATGTATATATCCACATAATTATCATAAGCAGAAGTTCTAACTACGTCTATACTTTGAATATTTCAATACCATTAATACGTATTGTATATATATTCAATTCGAGTGTTTTTTCGAAGTTAAATAAGATTCTCCTAAAACACTATTTTAAAGACGTAGGAATCATAGCCTTGTCTGCTATCATGTTTTCAATAATCTTCATTCTATTTAGTTGTTTTCTCACATATTTATGTAATAAAATACACTAGATAAGATAGGTAATTGAAACATGATTAATACGTATATTGCTACTAGATATCCTCAATAGATGAACATATAATTGGTTAGACGTTGTTAGGACTTCTATTAATGCTGATTGTGTAGACGTGTACAGTCAATCAAGTGACATCCACTATTTAAGTTTTAAATGCTGAGAATACAATTAACACAAACATTCAAATTTTCGAAAAAAAAAACAGCTTACATTAATTATACTTTAATTCAGATTTGCTTGACTCTTCGCACTTAATCCATGGGTAAGAAAGATTCATACCAACATGATCAGTTCAGAGCTCGGAGGGTGTGAGTGTGGTTGCTAGTTTCAATTCTATTTTCATCCACATCCACACCCACATCTACATCCGTCTACACTCACAGTGTACAAGATTGATATTTGTTTCGATTTAGAAATAAACAAGATTTGAATGATTGAATTGATTGAAAAAGAAGATCCTCTGAAATTGTCCTAGTTGCAAGACATCCAAAAAGTAGCGAATGTTGTTGTTATTTCGCCCTTCAACACAATGTATTTTAACAATTGATCGATTCCCGAGCAGATATGATTTATTTAATTAATGGTACCGATATTCAGTATAATCTGAGTCATTTTTTATTTCCCTCTTCTTCTACGTGTTGTAGACTTAAGCAATGAAACTTTATCTTTGAATAAACTTCTACTGATCTCTGATTATCTACGTGTTCGGTTTTGAAGTAACTAATCTGCTCTCAATATGTTTCAAAAAAAAGTGATGCCTGTGTTTGATCTGTGTATTTTTTATGTTCAAGTAGAGAAGATTGATTTAGATTTCTGAAATCGATCGAAGTTAATAGCGGATTGTTAATTGGGTAGTTTGTCAGACAGAAAGAATCCTGAGAAGAGAAAGATGAAGTTCAACCAGAAAGTGTTTGCTCGTTAGATGAACAAGTCGAATCTATAAACTGATCATTTTTGAAAATCTTATTTTATTATTTTCAAGTCCCAATGGATTCTAAGAACTCAATCATTGTCAAATCGGATTCGTCTTGGTCCCATTTCATAGTCAAATTATAGACGGTGAATACTTAACAACCATATTCAGTATTATGTCCATGGTTTTTGAAAAATTACTTTGACCTGTGTGAAATTAGTTTCGGTTGCAGCTAAAACCAAAATGTTTTCATCTACAACATTGACAATCAATAAAAAAAAATGGGATGTAGGTGAGTACTATCTATCTATCTCACTGTACTATACGACAAATGACATAATCAACCAATTATAAAATTACAAGAGCATAATCCGGCCTTGATAGTTGACTAATGACATTTTTATCAATAATTTTTTGAACGAATATTTTTGAATAATTTTTGGCTTGCAACTTCCGAATTTTTTTTTTCTTCTACACAGAAGCGGAATTTTTAGTTCTAGTTGATAATGAGTATTTCATTGTTGACCATCTCAAACATTTCAGAAATCCATCGGAATAAATTGGATAGGAATATAACAAAATGTATCCAATTTGCTTTCAACAGTTGCTTGCAGCTATTTACATTTCATTTACGTTTGTTACATTAAAACAAGCGTTTGATTATGATAAATGTTATTCTTCAAACGTGCACTCTGCTATGAATAAGTTACACAGAAACAGTAAGTAGTGTTTATGACTTTTACAGAAATTTGAATTTGTAACAAAATTTTTTACAGAGTATAAACTTTTAAAATTTTTAGCCTTCAACAAGATTTATGAATAAATGTTAAACGCAGTAAGAAAATGTTAATTTCAACCCCTTCAAATACTGTATTCGGATCAAAACATTCTAAAAATGCACTCGTTCAAACTTTTGAAAAAAAGCTTGTGATTGTCACATAGTTCTATTTTCTTTCTTTGTTGTTCTTATGAACTTTTAAAATGATAGTTTGTTCTCATATTATCTTGAACTCTGCTTTGAAAAATCAAGCCTTATCAACTCGAGAAACATTGGTCTATTGGCTTTTTAGCAACGGAAAACTTTGTTTTTTGAGAGAGACTGGGATAGTATTGTAAATTTATCTTTTTTGTCGTCAATTATTATAGCTGGCATTGGTATATATTATTTTTATTCTAATCGTAACGAATTAGAGATTTAGATTTTACCTTTTGAGAATTTTAGCTTTTGGCTTTACAAAGTGAGATTGTAGTAGTAACTGAAAGTTTAATGTTGCTATTCCCAAAAGGCTTCTATTTAGATATTTATTCGTTCAATGCGACAATAAAAGAACTAAAAAATATTGTGAAAGCTCTTTTTTTCAAACTCTTTTCTTGGTGAACACAGTTCAGAAGTAACACGGCGTGTCCAAATGAATCTTCCAAAAAAAAATAGTAGGTGAAGGAAGTAGTGATTGTAGCAGAAAAAAGCTTTTATTCGAAATAAAATTATTAAGAGTAGCGCTTTGAACAATGTTTTAGAGTTGAAAAAGTAGTGTCTTCAATAGCCGATGACACACGATCCGTGTCAGTACATTGTCACTGTGAAACATGTTTTGCAAAACATTGTCTCAACTATTTTGTTTTTTCATGTAAAAGCCATTCTATTTCATATAACAAAGTCACTTTTTACAAGCAGTAATTCAAATCTCAGGAGAATAATGAGATAAAACTTATTTCTAATGGATTTTGATCGATCTAATTTTTAAAAACATCCAAATAGATTTCGATTTAATGTCATAGTTTTCAATGGGTATCCGAAGGTTAAAATGTTGAATTTTAATTGTCTTCAAATTTTGCGGTAACATGCTAGATGTCTATTGTAACTAGGAGATTTTGCCAATTTATTTTCATATGAAAAGTTGTACAAAATGTTTCCGACATTTTGTCATTGAAAAAATTCTCCTCTAAGTAAATGTAGTTTGTGAAAATGTTCTTGAGACATTGTGTCTTTTGTTCAATTGTTGTTTATTTAAGTCTAATGTTACAAGAATGTAGATAATGGTATAGTATAAACATACTTCAACAGATATTTAAGTTATTTATATGAAAGATTTCTTTCTACATGGAGTAAATTGAGTAAGAACGAGAAAAATTTTATTAAACGATGATCAGTTGTGTCTATAGAAAGTGCTATAAATCATCAGAACAAA